TTCATTGGTGGATAAAGATTTTGTGAGTTCCAATCCACCAATGAATTAATGTGCCAACTCATCGGTGCTTAGGATAAGATGAGCACCGGTGCTCATTAGATCATTTCTGCATATGTTTATTCATCTTTAATGTTGAGGGGCAATTGAAAATTTGAAATCGAAGATCTCATTAATAACAATGGAGTATTTAAACTCAAATTAAAATTAAATTGATATGCAATTCAATGATATTTTGAATTTGAATTCGAAAATTTTAAACTTCAAATAATTAGATATATTTTAAATAATATTTTCAAATGAAAATTACTCTACAAAAAACACTCCTCGCAACTTCCATAACGGCACGAGTCAGGATAAGTTGAATAACTATCTCACCCAAACACACGATTTTCTTGCGATTTTTACCCACTCATTTACTTAAGCGCGTTTCCCAAAAAGCCCCTAAGCGATACCTTTTATAACCGGTAAATGTTTTCATCTACCCCTTCCCTTTCACCTGTTCCATCGTTACCCTAATCCCCTCCTTTGGCTTTATATACCCCTTCACCCTCTTCCTCTCGCCCACGACCCCATACATACAAAAATTCATATATACGTACTTTTAAATATTTATATTATATTTTTAGATATAGAGTAGCAAAATAGGGTTTAGTTTTACCAGTATTGATGGCGGCGATTGAATGTTGTAATAAGATCAAAGGACCATGGAGTGGGGAGGAGGATGAGCTGTTACAGAAGCTCGTGCAGCGGCACGGTGCGAGAAACTGGTCGTTGATAAGCCGCTCGATTCCAGGGAGATCGGGGAAATCTTGCCGGTTGCGGTGGTGCAACCAGCTATCGCCTGAGGTGGAGCACCGCCCATTCACGCCGGAGGAGGATGAAATCATTCTCAAGGCGCAGGCAGAGTTCGGGAATAAGTGGGCGACGATAGCGAAGCTCCTCAATGGCCGCACCGATAACTCGATCAAAAACCATTGGAACTCGACGCTGAAACGGAAGTGCGCCGCCGCAGCGGCAGATGGAGCCGAACGACCCCTGCAGGTTCGGAGGAGAGGGAAGAGCGTCGACGTTACGGCGGCGGTTACGAATGGTCTTACAGTGAGTTATGAGAGTCAGAGCCCGTGTGGTTCCGAAATCAGCGATTCGATTGATAATATTTTCGCGAATTCGAACATGAATATGAATGTTTACTTTCCGGTTATCGGAAATGCAGTTATCGATCCGGCAGTAGAATCGTCGCCGGCCGTGATGGATGGTGATACTGCAGATGATCCGTTGACTGCGTTGACTCTATCTCTGCCAGGGCCTAGAAATGAATTTACGACGCCGTTGGTGACGGGAAAGGAGGAAAAGAACGAAACGTTGTCGTTTGGCCCTGAATTGCATACCGTGCTGCAAGAGATGATTAGGAAGGAAGTGAGAAATTATCTTTCGGAACGATGAAAATGATGGTGGTGAATTTTGGTTGGCATTGGCAAACTTAGTAATTAATAATTAATTAATGGTTGCAAAATTTCAATTTTCACAGAGTAAAATTGAATTTTATTTACTTGTAATAGCAAAGATTAGAGTTAATAATTTACAACGTCTACCCGTAAAAGTGACTCTTTAACAGCCTTTTTTAGGGTATTTTATGGATTCTGGTATGGTTAAAATTTGGGTAATAAAATACACTATTATTTGTCAGTTTAAAATATGTCAATTTTTTCATTCAATTTTTCTTTTCAATATCATGTTTTATAGTTCTTTACGTACGTACAAATGTTACGAGGACGGGCAACTTTCCAGCTATGTTCTAAAAATATATGGAAATGAGTTTTTTCAATCAATTATTTGAGGCAGTGTAAATTTAAAAATGGAAAATGTTGTTTAGAAGATTTTTTTTAAGTAAAAATATTTTTTTAAAAAATGAGAAATTACTTTTTTCATAAAATGTGTAGTTAAAAATTATTTTAAAAAAAATATCAAATATAATGTATGATTTTGTTCCAAATAAAAGTTGCTACTAATTAAGGGTTTGTTTGGGAGGAATTCTCAAAATTCTACAGTAAATCAATTCTCATTTTCAACCACACATTTTTTAATAAAATAATATTTTACATCACATCAATAATTTTTTCTTCTTTTTCAACCACATATTTCTCATCATATCACTATTCAAAATCAATTCTTCCCCTAAAAATTCCTCCTAAACAAGCACTAAAATTAACAAATGAATTGACTTGGATACTATTTTGAATTCCCGTATTTCATACTCTACATTATATAACTCTTTTCCATTTGTTATGTTGTCATCTTAGTCTTCGTAAAATATTTTTATATTCCTTTCTAGAGATTAGAGATAAAGGATCATTTAACCCCACATTTGACATGACGACAATGAGATGACAAGATCAAATATAAATTATATATTGATGCCAATCAATTTTGTATGCCTTTGGAGGGGTCACAACTCAATCAGCTAACCTGCACAAAGAATGGGATGGGAACCTCATCCCTAATTGTCCTCCAGTATAAGAGAGAGTTAATGCGTTCCTAGAGCAAAATGTGGAGTGGGAACTTTATACTGAGAAACTCAAAAAGTAAAGTTACATTTTATGTTGTATTAAGCTTCGTATATATAAAGGTCTTGTCATGGTGATGTGGCAAAAAGAAAACGATTATGATTATGTGGCAAGTGTTCTTGGGTTTCCCTAAACTGTAGTAAGAATCAGATTTGTAAAGAAAATCGTTATATTGAATCTTTCTAAGGGTAGAGGATCATCGTTTTCTATTGATCACTTATGCGAGAATTTAGCGATGATCCGTGGGGTGATGTTTGTTTGTGTTTCACGACCCACCGATTGTCATGTTTGTGAGGTGATCAATTATGAGCATAATAGATTACTCATATGCCTATATTCATCAACAATCCTGCTATGCGTACAGCGTGAATGATAGTAAAGTTTCCAGTCCAGCTGGAAAATGTTTTTAGAAAAAAAAATTCAAATAACAAAAAAGGCCAAAACACATTTTCTTTTCCACACAATCTATTTCCTCTTTCCTCTTTTGGGTACAAACAAAAGCTTCAACCACGGCAAAACCCTCAGATTCTCTCCACTGAACAGGTCGTCACCTCCGGCTGTCGGCAAACCACTAAATAACCTATTCTTCCTTGCCGGAGGGAGAACACCAAATCGTTTCCACCCAATGGTTTTTCATTTTAGCTAAATAGGAATCGGAACCACGACAATGAAAAGGTCAAGCCAATAATACAAACGATCAGACGCATCCAACGATCACAGTCCTTCCACGTGGCTTCATCTCAACCTTTGAAACAATGAATGGGCTGCCGGGTTGCAGTCAATGGGCTAGACTCTTCATATTATATTGGGTTCCATCTTAGTGCCCAAATTGTTAAAGCATATAACTCAACAATCTCCACATTGCTTGGCAATTTGGGTTTCACAGCAGATTGGAGGTTAACACATCCTTCAGTTTCATTTGCTTTTTGTACCTGCAATAAACATCAATTAACAATAACAGTTAGGAGATACAAACAATCCCTAAATTTGTATGGAGACAGTATCTTAGTCCCCATATCTGCAGGATTGCACATTTACACTTAGTTGAAATCTTTTCAATTTTCATAATATTCTTTTCTGAAACATCTCTTGTAAAATGAAATTTAACATCTATATGTTTAGTTCTATCATGAAAAATAGGATTTTTATTAAGATGTATAGCAGATTGACTATTAGAGAATATAACAGCATTATTATCAGAAAAATCAATTTCATTTAGTAAGTTTTTCAGCCAAATACCTTCTTTTACTGCATCCGTGGCTACAATATATTCATCCTCTGTTGAAAACAAGGCTACAATTTTTTGTAGCTGTGATTTCCAGCTTATGCAGGTACATTTCTAGTAAAAATATATGCAGAAATAGATTTCCTATTATCAAAGTTACCAGCAAAATCTGAGTCAACATAATCTTTTATTTTTATTCCAGTTTTATTTTTAAAGAACATAAGGCCTAAATTTGAAATCCCTTTTAGATATCTTAACAACCATTTCATGGCTTCCCTATGACATTCACTGGATTACTCATGTATCTATTTGAAACACTTCAATCAAAAGCAAGATCATGTCTAGTACAGACCATTATATAAATA